GACACGCCATGACCTTGTTGGGGTTCATGCAGTACAGCAGCTGACGACGAGGACCGTTCTCTTTCTTGAGGTACTCCCTGGAACGTCGAGGGAGAACGGGGGGTGGTGGTGGATGTGGCTCCTCCGTGACACTGGCGGTGACGGCGTGGTGATGGGTTACCCCTCCGGGCCCTCCCGCACACCCCCCCCTGCCTGGCCCATCACATCCCCCACCGGCCCATCCACACCCCTCTTCCTCCTCCCCCCTGCCACTTCCCATACTTTCCCTCACTTCACAAATACACACGCACACGCAATCTCCCCCCCTCCCCGTCACCCCCCTCACCGGTAAAACTCCCCGGTCATGGGGCACCACACCTCCGCGCACTGCACGTTCGCGATGTGTCCAGCTCGGGTAAGATCCAGCCAGTTGGCCTCGTACAACTTGGGCCCTATGAGGAAGTTGAGATCCGCGATGCGCTCGTCCTCGCGTACGAGAGTGGCAGTTAGTCCCAACTTGCAGTGGGACTTGCAGGTGGAGATGACCTAAAAGGAGGGCGGTGGGGCAGTTGGGCGGTTGGGCCGTTATAATGTTGGATGTTGGGAGGTTAACGGTTAGAGAACAGGAACGCGGCGTTGCTGCTCTTGACCCTCCCTTAGGTCCAAACCCCGACCGGATACCTCTCCGAGAGGACGGGTATTTTCCCGATTATGATGATTATGATGGTGATGGTGATGATGATGATGGTGATGGTGATGGTGATGGTGATGATGATGATGGTGATGATGATGATGATGATGATGACGGACGCGAAAACCGTGCGGGCCCAGCCACATGTGCGGGAAGGTGCACCCAGTTACCCCTCCCTTCCCCTCCGTTCTGAGCCCCTCCTTCCCTTCCTCTTCACCCTTCCTCCCCCTTCCTCCCCCTCCCTACGACGACCCGCTCCGCCCCACCCTCCCCTCCCCTCCCTAATCGGCGGCTAGGTAGGTAGGTAGGTAGGTTTCCGCGGTCGTCATCATTACATCATCCCGAGGTCGCCTCCTTCAAAACCGCCTACTGGTCAGTTCTGCGTCTTGTACACTCTTTCCTTGGCAGCAGCTTTACACTCGTTCACGTGGGGTTCCCACCCCATCCTCCAGCCCAACCCGCAACTCCCCCTCCTTCCCCCCACCTCCCACTTCCTTTCCCACACTGTTCTGATCCTTTATTTACCGTTCTGAACATCTGCGCTGGCACCACGTGCACCTCGTCCATGAGCAGCAGCCCCCACTCGCGACTCCGAATGCAGTTCATGATGCGCTCGCTCTCCTCGGACCTCTTGCCGCTGAAGGCAATCATGGTGAAGGTGGTCACCAGCACGCCCACCTCCCCCGGGAACATCTCCTTGTTCTCGCTGGTGAATCGGGCGATCTGTAGCGGTAGCGGTAGCGGTAGCAGCGGGGGTTGGCAGTAGCAGTGGAAGGAGTGGAAGGGGGGGGTTAGGCAGGGGGGAGGGTTGGCGGTCTCGCAAAAGCTTTTTTGCGAGAAGAGAAAACGCGGACTCCTCTGTCCTGTGGCGGCACCTGGTGGTCCCCAATGGACGTCCACAGCTGGAACTGGTACTTCCATTGGTCGACCGACACAGAGGAGGTGCACAAACACAGACACGACTTCTTGACTCTGGAGGCCGCCGCCACCCCCACCAGGGACTTGCCCGCACCGCAGGGCAACACGATGATGCCGCTCCTGGGGGTGTGTGTGGAGGAGGAGGGAGGTGCGGTTTTAGTGAAGCGTTATATTAATAGGTTTTATTAATGTAAATGTGGGAGTTGAAAGAAAGACGGACAAACAGGTCATGTGATGGTGGTAGTATTTGTGACATGTGTGTAGGGGCTTCCTCCCCCTCCTCCTCTTTCCCCCCCTTCCTCCTCCTCCTCTTCTTCCTCCTCCCCCCTCTCCCTTCCCCCCTCCCCTTCCTCTTCCTCTTCCTCCTCCTCCTCCTCTTCCTCCTCCTCCTCTTTCCTCTTCCTCCTCCCCCCTCCTCCTTCCCCCCTCCTCCTCCCCTTCCTCTTCCTCCCCTCTTCCCAGCCCGGTGGCCGCACCTAGCTCGTCCGTTACCGAACATCTTGGACAGCGACTTCTCCTGGTACGGCCGCAACTTGACATGCGGCTTGAGCTCGAACGGCAGCAGGTCGGGATTGCGGCGGTCGTTACGGAAGTCGTACTCCTCCAGCATCGGGTAGTTGAGGCCCTCAGGCATGCATCGCTTCTTAACCTCCTCCACCTGTGTGCGGGCCGCCAGGAGTGGCGGGTGTATGCATGAGCGTGAGTGTGTGTGTGCATGTGTATGTATGTCTGTATGTCTGTGTGTATGCATATCAACGCATGTCTGGATGTGTGTATGTATGTGTGTATATTTGTTACATAATGATCGGGAGGCCCGACGCTGGCGAGGGGCACCTGACCGTATATATACCCCAACGGGAACGAAGGGCCGCAGAAGCACTCTCCTCCTTGGGGGGGGGCCGTTATATTGGTCAAGAGTCCTTCTCAACCGTTCTCCCTTATCAACGCAAGGTGCCGTCACCTGTTCGAATCCTCTAGCCAGCTTCACACAACAGCTCAGATGCCAAACAACCTCCGTTCCACCGAAAGCGCCAGCTCTACAGCTGCGCGATGTACCAATGCACTCACATTTGTGTGTACGAGGGGATCATCCTCCGAAGAGGGTGCACATCGCAAAACTGCCGACGCCCACAGTATATTAAAACACGTGCACACCTTCCCCCGTCCCCCTTCCCCCAACAAAAAAGGTAGCGGGGACAAGGACATGAAAAGGCGCGCCGAGGCCGTGGCGTGATGTACACGGGGGCCGGGGGCCGGGGTATCAGAGGAAATCCGCCTGATCGGGCTGTGCTGACGTGTCAGGCGGGAAACGTAGGAAAACACTTCCCCTGGCGCTCGCCACACTGCCACACCAACCTCGGCCCCCAACACACACACACACACATGGACACACGCGCGCATGCACACATGCACACACACACACACGCGCACATCCACATACACACATACACATACACACATACACATACACACATACACGCGTACCTTGTCTTCCTTGACCTCGAACTCCTGCACCTCTTGCTCAGTTTCCTCCGCCGAGATGTCCTTGAACGCCTTGCCGTACGCCCCCACACCGTCGTCCTCCTCACCATCTGCCACGACCTCCCCCGCCGCCGAGCCCCCCTTGCCGTCGCCGCCGCCGAACCCCCCTGGAGCCGTCTTTCCCGCCTCGTCCCCCAGCCCTTTTTCGGGCTTTTGTGGCTCCTGGGGTGGCGCCTCTTCCCCCACCATATCGACGGCGGTGGTGATGTTGGCGGCTGCGTGCTCACGTAGGGCCCGACTGCTCTGAATGATACCTGCCGTATGCGGATATAAGCCGTGCAGACGCGAGTTTCATGTTTCGTACAAACGCCCGTACAACGTGCACTTCCATCAGGATGCCATGTTATGACAAAAGACAGTGAGCCACTCACATACATACATACATACATACATACATACATACATACATACATACATACATACATACATACATACATACATACATACATACATACATACATACATACATACATACATACACAAAAACACATTCTTGCACCTCTCCCTCACCTCCCCCCACAGCAGCCTCCTGGATGACCTTGTCCTGCAGGCCAAGAGGCACAGCAGTGCGAGAGTCGATTCGGAGTTACGGGCGGCCCCAGGGTAAGGGGGGCCAGGGGATCATGGACACGACTACAGGAAGGTGGAAGGGGGGCGAACATGGACACGGCCATGAAAGCGGCGCAAAACACACAGACACACACATACACATATACACACTAAGCTGAATTGTGGTACACAGCGTTCATCCCAAACCCTAAAAGCCTGAAGGGGCCCTCCTAAATGCCCCCACTTTATTCCCCTCCCCTCCCCCCAAGTTCCCCCCTCCCCCTCCCCCGATAGAGACAGGTGTTTCCCCGCACCTTGAGCAGGCGCTTGAGCACCTCGGGGTGGGTGGACTCCACGTAAAACCGGTTGTGCTTCAGAACCAGCTTCACCTGCGTGCACGTGTGGAACGCGTGTGCTTCTTTGTGTTGTGTGTACGTGTGTGTGTACGCATGTGTGTACGTGTGTGTGTACGTGTGTGTGTACGTATGTGTGTTTATGACCTGGGTTACGAGAAAAGAATGGCGAGAGGACGGCGGTGTCTGTGCACCCGTGTGTGCGTATGTGGGTTTGTGTTGTACGGCCCAGTGTGGTCCGGTGGGCTCCCCCGGCTGGTGGGCCTCTTGTGCTCAGTGCGGTGCGGGGCGGTGCGGTGCAGGAGGAAGGTGTAACGGAGTGACATACAGAATGCACACAGCGGATGAGCTGAGGAGTACTAACCGTACGGCAATTCGTATACTGTCATGTACGGCATTGGGCCGTACGCAACGAAGACAGCAAGGTAAAGAAGCTTGCGGAGGAAAGGCACAGAGCAACCACCATGGTGGAGCGGAACAGAACATGGCCGCGCGTTGTCGTACCTTGCCGTAATTTGCCGTACTATCTCTGATGAAGCTCTTGGTCTCCTCGCTCAGCTGCACCTTGGACAGTCTGCGCGACGACAGCGGGGGCTGGAGGTTTCGGAGCTAGGCTAGTGATGTGCGTATGTTGTTACAGGGTGGTATAGCTTCACCAGCGGCCCCCTTTCCCTTGGAGGCAGTTCCCTGCTCTCCCCTGCTAGAGGGGCACCCTAATCCGTTCACCCCATCCGACTTCGGAATGTATTCGTTGGTTTCAGCAACTCACCACCAGCATCCAACCAAATCTAGCGGATCAACGGCGCCTCAACTTAGTTCCTGGTCAGATCGCATATTGCTATAATCACGACCTACACCGTCAACAAGATGGGGGGCCACCTCACTCGCACTCCGAGGGGTCGGCAGGCGGATTTGAACCAGGAACCTCCGGGAGCAGAAGTCAGGCCTTAACTTCTGCCATGTATGTACGTGTGGTATCCTTGGCGCTAACGGAGGAAAATGAAACCCCCCCATCAGCGCCGGACATACAAACACAACACACACACACACACTCTCGCACACACGCACACACACATATATATATATACATATATGCGCTCACACATACGGCGTTTCACTGCTGGGCTACTTCATTTTACTTTACTTGGGTAAAGTTGCCCGACCCCCCAATATCCTCCCCCCCACCCCAGTGTTCGCTCACCCCACTAACCTATTGAGCACATTGATGATGGTCTCAGTCTCCAACCCCACAGACACGGCCGCGTACAGGCTGTGCGGAGTGAGCTGGTACTCGTGCATGGCCTGGGGGAGGATATATATGTGTGTGTGTGTGTGGTGATGGGGAGGTGTGTGTGTGTGTGGGAGGGGAGCTGTGTGTGGGGGGGGGAGGAGAGGGAGAAGGCCGGGAGGAGCCGCGTATCTAGTGGGGCTAGTGGGGCTAGCGGAAAGAACCGAAAGCACACATACACAAGTACACACATCAGGAGGGCTACTAGACACACCGCACCCGTGCCGCGACTCGATTGTACCCACATACATACATACGCACACACAGTCGGCTAACACACCCGTGCGGCTCCGGGTCCCCCGGGGTATTTCACCCGTCCTGCATTACCCCCCAAACACACACTACACTAGTAGTACGGCACAGGATGAGGGCGCACCGTACCTCAGGTCTGCACACCGGCTCCGAAATCGCAATTAAAAAGTCGTACGCCTGCAGTGCGAATGGAACGGGCGGAGAACGAGCGCGCGACAGGCGCCGGGGAAGGGGGAACCTAACCTGATGCCAGAGCCTTTCCACACCCCCGACCCCACCCCATCAATGACAACAGGTAGCCAGCCCGTGCGAGCCGCCTCAACTTCACCCCACCCCCCTACCTGACCCATCCCCACCCCCCACCCACCTAATCTACTCGGTTGGCCCCCCCGCTAACGGCCCCAAGGCTCAGCGTTCCGGGTTTGACATCACATCACATCGCGTCGCCCCTTCCGGGGCTGCCAAGGGGCCACCCCAGCCCTTCTCTAACCCCCTCCCTCCCCTCCTGCTTCTCTTTCCTTGGCAGCAGCTTCACTCGCTCGTGGTTCGCCTTTTCCCCCCTCCCCTGGCCGTCCCCTCCGCACTGCACAACTCCAACAACCTAACCCTGAGAGGGCGGCGGCTCAACCCCCTCAACAAGACAGCGCTTACCAGGCCTAAACCTCGCCTATGCTCGACCCCCTTCAACCCCTCCTTTCCCCCCTTCACCTGCTTGTAAATGGGCGAGAAGGTCTCCAGGAAGATCCTGTTGTCAGGAGTGACCCACAGCGGCCGGTTGGAGTGGTCGGGCTTCAGCTGCAAGGACGAGAAATCCGTATCGTACGGCACACCGTCGGGGTCGCCGCCGAGCGCGCGCTCCCGTACAGCTCTGCTTGTTGTTTTGTGTTTTTAGTGCGCGGGAGGAAAAAAAATGGTGAGAACGGATTGAGAGATCTTAAGCACGTTTTGAAGTAGGAGACAAATATATAGGAAAATTCTCGGCTCAACAGAAAGCAAAGAGAAGCACAACCGACGAGAGCCTTAACCAGTCCACAGGACAAGCGCCAGGCGAACAAGCCTGTGCTCGTACTAGAAGCTGCGTGTACTAGTGCCGTACAGTACACCGCACCTGTTCCCGAAGAAGCCGCCGCGGCCGCCTCCCGGCCTTCCCGAGCTCCCACCGGCTCCGAAACCGCCGCGCCGCTTCCAGCCTCCTCGCCGTCGGCCCCCTAGGTCGTCGTCATCATCGTAATCGCCATCGTCATCGTCGTCCGTCACCAGCTTAAACTCCGCCTCTTCCTCCTTGTCGAATGGGTCGTCCGATAGCTCCTCACCGTCGTTCTCAGCGCCAAACTGCTTGGTTGGCTTGCGGCTGCGGCTGCCGCGACCGGCCGCGGCAGTGGGGGCCGCGGCGCCGGCATTAGGGGCTGCGGATTTCGTTGCCGGCGCCGCCGCCGGCGCCGGCGTCGGCGTCGGCGCCGTCGCCGGCTTCCACCCGCCAGGGCCAGCAGCGCCCGCTGGTGGCTTGCCCGCTCGTGCAGCCGCCGCCGCCGCTGCCGCCGCCGCTGCGGCGACGGCCCTCGTCCTGTTGCTGTTCGCGGGCTGGCCGTACGCTCCGGAGCTGCCAGACGGGGAAGTGCTGCCGCGGCTCGGAGGCGATACCGACATACTGACAGCGCCGCCCGCCCGACCGGCTGCCACACCGGGGCGCTGAGCTGCAGCTGCAGCAGCAGCAGCTGCAGGTGGCGCCGCCCCCGCACCTACACCAGCACCGCCCCGCATTGCACTGCCTCTGAGGCCCACGTCCACACCACCACTCCCTGTCGAACGCTGGGATCTGGCCGCGTCCATCTCCTCGTCGTCGTCGTCCTCATCCTGAATCATCCGCGCAGTTTTGCGAACCTTACGTCCCCTCCTCAGCCCCGCGTCCTCCTCGTCGTCGTCCTCAACGTCCAAGCCCGGCCTCGCGCCAGGTGGCTTCTGTGCGCCTGCCGCGGCTGCCACTACCGCACCGCGGCCCTGGAGCGCTGATGCCACTGCGTCTCGATCGGGGGACTGGTCCCGATCTTCCAGGTCCTCGAGGGCTTCATCTGGGTTAGCAGCTGCCGCAGGCTGGTCAGCGGGACGTGGTCGCTTCAGCCGGCCAGTAACGGTTATGGCGGGGGTTTGGCGGGGACCTGGCACGACGGCTTCGGTGTGGTGACCCAAATCGCGGGGTGATGAGGCCCTGTTGGTTGGTGCAGGATGTGTGGCGGCTTGCGTAGGGAATGATTGGGGGAGGGAAGGGGGAGCAGCTCCCGGTTGCGCCGAAGCCGGGGTTGGGGCAAGGGCCGGCGCAGCTGCCGATGCGCCTGCACCTGCTGCTGCCGCAGCCGCTGCCGCTGCTGCCATAGACTTTGCAAGCTTTAAGCGAATTTTGTTGACGGGAGGAGGTCCGGATAAGCCGGTGGAGAAAGGCACTTGGCTTCCTTGTCCTGGTGCATCTTGCAAGGCCCCCGGTGCTGCTTCAGGGCGATTTGCGACCGAGGCACCAAGTTTGAGTTTAAGCTTTAATCCTGGGCCTTTACTACCTTGCCCAGAGTACTGGCTGCCCCCTTGGGACTCCGACATCTGCGCTGAAAAGCCTATCCGCAATCCAAAAGACGCGCTTACATGCCCTTCATATAATCTGATGAGGTAGGCCTTAGAGGTATGTGTAAAACAAGGTGAAGACAGTAGATGCGTTGAAATGCCTTGCGAAAGGCACAGAGAAGGAGCGAAGCGGACTCGTCCTTGCTATTTATGCCTGTCAGCGTGCATAGTGTGTTTTATTGATACATGGAATTGCCACAGGCCGTATAAAGGTTGAGATGCCAGGATGTTTGCTAGTCGCGAAGGAGCTGTCATGCGGTTGAAGCTACGGATGACCCAGAAGAAGTCCGTAATAGCGTGAATAGAGGTGCATTCTATGGCCAACCAAAAAAATTGAAAAGATTGACAAATATGATTCTTTGAACCAGGGGTCAGCCGCAGAGCTCGTGCCTTAACCTCTTGCAAATACATACATGTCACAACCCTAGACTAATCAGCATGAAACCGTGCCAAATTTTGTGTTTCGGCAGTGCAGTGGTTATCGGGGTCGCGGGGTTATTTCGTATCGCCACGGCCACAGCAAGAAACGGGAGGCACAGCAGCGTCCATAATTGTTGTACATTACCATACGGTATACGAAAGTTATATCGAGGTCCAATTGTAATGAGGGCTTCACAAGCAGCATCCACAATGAGGCCATACATCTGTCACATCCCACATAATCTGAACTATTGTGGCCAGTTGTCAAACCTATGAACCGTTAGGTATGCTCTGATACACAAGTTGCATGAGTCTGATCATTTGGCTTTTTGGGTGTTCGCTTTAACCTAAAATACGGCATGGCACGTTAAATTACACGGACAGCAAATCGCTATTGTTAGGAGGCGCTCATACAAAGTGATCTCTCCTAGCCGTAGCATGATGTATGTCAATAATGATGCACGCGGATAGCCAATTCTTCGTTGCACCAGTCAACGCCGTGCCAAAGGGCCACAGCTAGCTATGAGCGCAGCGCAGCGCACATTCCTGCAAGGACTATCTGAATATGAGAGGAACGCTTTGTTGCTCCATGCTGAAGGAAGCGCAGGTGGGCTCCCTCGGTCGCATTCACTACCTGGATTCACATCGCAGTTCGCGACCAAAGCACGCAGCTTAAGGACGCCAAATCCCGTGGTGTAGGAGGCAACACTGATGGCGGGGGAAGCAGAGTGAGCATTGGGAGCAGGAGAGAAGTTGAGGATGCGTTCAATGCTGTGTACAAAGAACGCGACCGCAGACAACAGCTGGAGGCACAGGTGTGCGGTGAAAGCCACTACTGGCAATCCTCATATAGCAACCCAATGCCCATGTGGTCCTTGGACGGGCCCAACATCCTTGTCCTTTATCCCCCGTGCACCTCCCCCCCTTGCCTCAGGTGGCCGCCCTGCAGGCAAAGATTCATGACCAGAATGGCCAGATCGACGCTCTGCGTGTCGAGCGTGATGCAATGCGCCAGAACCTGCAACGCAACGATGACCGTGGTACACGCCTCGCCGCGCAGCTGTCCTCGTTGGAGCAGGAGAACGCCTCCCTCAGCGCCAAGCTGGTCGCAGCCAACAACGATCGGGCCCAGCTGCAGACCAAGAACGATATGATGCAGGTGCACAAACCTGTGGGCGGAATGACCAGCTCGCATTTATGGGGACGCGTCAAAGTGACGATGTATCTGCCCAAATGACGGGGTCCTTCGTGTGGGGTCCTCAGTATACCGCAAAGGCATCCGCTTGGCACTTAGGAAAAGTGCTTGATCTTACCTCATCCTGATGCTACACATGCATTAGTTAACAATCCTCACGGCCAGCCTATTTTGCGGTAACGTGCATGTGCGTCTCCTACATGTGCATGTCCTACATGTGCATCTGCATCCTGCATGTGCATCTCCTACACGGAACCGCCCCTCACGCCACTGCTTATGGAACAGTGATGCGACAGAGCGCTAAGCCGTGCGGGCTCCATTCAATCCCCTGACACCAACTCAATAATTTCTTTTACTCTGCTTGCATACGGACGGACGGAACGTCACGTATCTCCCCACGTGCGACTTTGCGACTTTAGACGCGAGTCCTGGAGCTGCAGCAGGGCTACATCAGCATGGCGAACCTCGACGGTGTGGTGGAGCGCCGTGACCTCATCCGCCGCAGCAAGATAGGGGGCCTGCTGTCCGAAGTAGCAGCTTCGGGCGCGCTGGACGCCGACCTGCAGCAAATGGTTGCTCATCAGCAGCGCCAATCCCAAGCAAAAGTTGTAAGACGAGCCCATAAGCACCCCTGACTTGGCGATCATGTAATACTCCTGTCCCTAGCGCGTGCTTTGTGTCTCGTCTCATAGATACAGAACATTACCAGCATTCCCTCCTCTAGACGCAAGCTGCTAACGTAAACGTATTGACTTAGCTACGGCCCCGTTGCCTCGTTTGCAAACGCCTTTATAAGCTTGAACCAACACCGAGGGTCCCACATAGTCCCACCTGTAGGGAGAGGGGGCCATACCCGATTCTGCGCTTCCAGCGCCATCTGGTTTTCGCTGAGGGTTGACCCGTCGCGATGGCTTTACTTAATGGCGGCCTCTATCCGCCACTCGCCCGCTCCACGCCCCACGTGTCCCTCCTTCGTGCCCTTTCTACGTGCAATCCGTCCCTCTCACGTCGACAGGCTTTCAGCACCATCGCGGCACTCACTCGCGAGCGCGACACTCTGCAGCAGCGCCTGCAGGAGTTGTCAGAGCGACTGGCGGACAGCGTCAGCCGCGAGGCGGCCACCCGGGGCACACATGCGCTGCGCTGCGTCTCCTGGAAGCGCTCCGCGGTGCAGGCGGAGGCCAGGTGCGTGCGGGCCTTGCTCAGGTCTGGCATGAACCGCTGCGCTGCTAGACCGATCCCGTCAAGCGCTTCAATAAGCAGCACTTTGCGCATGTTTCGTGTCGGAGTGTGTCTTGGTCTAGTGTCCAAATCACAGATGCGACCTCCCACATCCCAGCGCTCAGCTGCAGGGGATTACCTTGGCATAGGTGAGAGGAGCCAGGTTTCAAGTCGTTGCGTCATGTGTGCCAAACCGTGCAGCATAGGATTACTGCCGTCGCGCACTAAGTCCTTATCGTGTCATGTTAGCACCATAAATGAAGTGCGCTCCTGGATTGTGTCCTCGAGACTGTGATAAAAGAAACACCGTGCGGGAGTTTGCAAGTGCGCTACGCGCGGCGTGTATTTGGGTCCTGTACAATTTGCACTGTAGAGGTGCCGATGGCTCATGCATCATAGCGCGGCTCGGTTTGCGGTCCGGTACCGTTGCAGGTTGGCAGTGGCATTGAAACGTGTGAAGGAGCTTAACGAGGAGATCCGCAAGCGTGATGGCGCGGCGCGGCAGGTAGGGATGCGGACAGAACGGGAGTAACATGAAGGTTAATTGTGGAGAGTGCGGTGAAGCGCGGACGGAATGCGAAAGGGCCGCACAAGGCCATGCACAGCGTGCGTTTTGTTTTGCAAAGGGACCTGAATTGCGGTCTGCTTTGCACGCAAGAGCAACAACCAATGCGCCTGCTGCAGCTGTTGCGTGGCGTGCACACCGCCATCCAGCCATGACGTGGGTCCTCTCCGGGCCACGTTGATGAGCACCCCTGGCATCCCAATTAAACCGTGTGGCAGCTGCCGCTGCGCTTCTGGCCACGGCAACTTCAGTCCCGGCCTGCCCTCTGCGTTCGTATCGTCCCATTCCCTGCTCTTGCAGCGTGAAAAGTACATGGCGCAGCTGGAACGCACCATCATGGCGCAGCACAAATCACTGCAGCAGCTGCGGCGTTTGCTGGAGAAGGGGATGCCAGGTGGTGGTGGAGCGGCGCTGCAGCGGAGCACACGCGAGGCGGCGGCTCCAACAGCCAGCAGCGAGCCTGCACAAGGTGCAGACCAGGCCCCAGCCCCAGCCTCACCCAACGGCCGCGGCGCCGGCTGCCTGAAAACGGGTCGGCCGGAGCGCTCAGGTGGCGACACTGTGCGCTTCCAGGATGAAGACGGCCTGGCTAGCGACACGGCGGCACCGGCGTCACGACCGGAGCGACCGCAGCAGCAGCTGCAAAAGCCACCTTCGCAGCTGTACAATGACCAATATCCGAACCCATTCCTGCAGTATCATTCCGGTCATGGGCAACCAGAGTTTGGTGTTGGCCGTTCCGGGTCCGGCGAGAAAGCCTATTTCGTGCCGCCGCAGCATGCTGACGGCTCGGCAAGCCATGGCAGGCCGGCCCCGGAAGCAGCGGCGGGGCTGCATTCCGCGGGTGGCGCGGAGTCGTGGGTCGGCCGGCCCGTCTCACCCTCTCGCAGAGATTCAGAGCGCCCGCTTGCGCAGTCTGCGGACGGCGTGGCGCCGCGCAGAGGGGGCCGGGTTGCTTGGGCGGAGGGGGACGCGCAATTCGAGGCGCCTAGCCTATCGCCACACGAGGCTGACGGGGAGGAGGTGCGTAGTTCGGAGCTTGTTTCTTGTTACTTCATAACCCCAAACGCAACGGTGCAATGGCAGCGTGGGGTAGGAAGTCCCGCGTCTCGCATGGGGTAGGGGTCTCCCGAGCTGTCGTGCTGTGGTTACAAGGTTACAAGTCACAAGTTCCGCATGAATGCGGGGGTGTCCGTCAAAGCCTGATTAGGGGCCATGGACTAGGGACTAGGGAAGCTTGTGGCCAAGAGGCAGAATGGGAGGTGGTTAGTGCGTATTCAACCTAACTGGAAAATCTGCATCTGCGCGACAACGCTTGTCCATTATCTTCCGCTGCGGTTCCCACGGTCGTTTTGCCAGCGAAAGGAAGAGGGACCTGGCGTGACATCCTTAACTTTCTCTTGACGTAATTTTTTCCTTAGGTTGGCTCCCAAAACCCAACGTTACATCCTGCGGCTTTGGAATCGAAACCTGGACAATCGATTATGGCCAGGGTCGTAACGGTGAACGCGACGCCGTCTTGCGGTGATATACTTCCTCGCGAAGCCCTGTGAAAAAGGGCATTCCATGCCCAGTGTACATTTTACTATGGCGAAATCAGAATCATTCATTGCAATGGATTGGCCAAGCGAATTCTTTCTTTGGACGTTCATTGTCGTTGCGGAAAGTCTGGAAGACGAAACGGCATAGATCCGCCGAGCTTCAACGGCTAGCTGTCGCAAATTATTTCCTCTTTCATGCGAAGGCTGTTGGGATATTGCCGTCTTATTTTTTCCGGTTCTTTTTTCTGAACGTGCCTTGTAGACGAAAAGCTGTGTGTCCATGTCGCAAGTCTCACAAATAACCAATTATCCGACCAAACTGAACACACTGACATGACACTGAGCGAATCTATTCCCTTCTATGCTTGAATGCTAGTAGTATTTAAACTTTTTTATTTTTGAACTTTAAGATTTTAAGTGTAATTTTTCCTTGGCTGCTGGCTCGGCTCTCGCTGCAACCGTACGGTTGCTTTCCTTTCGTATTACTGAGAGGCCGTACACCGCAGCGCATTTCCTTTCCTTCCGGCCCAACCGGTATTACAGGCACCATGCCTTCGCCGGCTCTAGGCGCTTTTGCCTACCCCCCTTTCCGATACTGTTCCTTTCGTCTTCAATGTAACCGTTTCTGCACTGCCCGCCCTGTCCGCCTGCTCTGCTCTGACCCCAGGGCCTGCAGGACGATGCGCCCCGGGCCTTCCCCAGCTCCTTGACGGCCCCAGTCGCGCTATCCCAACAACTTTCCAGTATGGAAGCCAACCTGGCGCAGCTTTATCGGGATCTGGAGGCTTTCAAGGACTCCTCACTGCATCACCAGGCTCTCCATGACAAACAAGGCACCACAAGGTCACCCCACAGCTCGCCTCAAAGGAGATCCTTTCCATCGTCGCCTATTTCAAACCCTCGTTCTTCCTCTCCGGCGCATTATTACAAGGAGCTGGGTGACGAGACCGATCCCGAGCGCGTTCCTCAAGACTTGGAAGACAGCGGCGGTGAAGGGAGCGATGGTGCCGGTGCTACCGTCCCGTTTAGCCCTACGGCCAAGGGCGTCTTGCGCTCGCCTACAGGCAGCCAGCCCGTTAGCAGGGCTCGGACCGATACGCGGACATCGTCTCCCACTGCCGGCTATTACGGCGTAGAGGAGAGACCCGGGGACGAGCCGGCTGCCGGCGAACAGGTTCATCAGGTCCGCCAGATGCCAAAGCTGCGCGGCTACGCATCAGCCAGTGCTGCGACACGCTGTACCGGACGGTCCAGCGCCCCCCGGGTTTCGCCGCGCCGTTACCGCTCCGATACCAGCGCCATGCAGCAACAGCAGCCAAAATTTGTGCCGCCCGCCAGTGCGGAGAACCCGGCAGTGTCGTCTGGGTCCCTGCGTGCCATGGCCCCATCTGGCACAAGTCCAAATGATGCTTTCGCTTCCATTCCCCGCGAGGCACAGAGCCGCAGGTACTCAGGAGCCTTACGCCGGATCCGGCGAACCCCTGAGGAGCACCAGGAGCAACAGCAAGCCCGGCGCGACGCCGCCAGCCCTGGGGCCCCCCCTGTAGACGGCCGCAGCAGCAACAGCAGCGTGGGGCAAGAACAATGGCCCTACCACGGCCAGCAGCCTGCCCCCATTGCAGGCATGTATCGGGATGGGGACAGCAGCCGAAGGAGTAATGGGTCTGGGAAATGGCAGCATCCGGGCCAAGAATCTGGGGCCGACCCAGACGGTGGGGGACACGGCAATGGGAACAAACGGAGTTCCGGTACCGAGCAGTGGCAGCATCAGAGCGAGCGGTCTGCCCATGATGCGGACGTGTCCAGGGAGGGGGGAAGCAGCAACAGAAGTATCGAATCTGAGCAGTGGCAGCATCAGGGCTGCAGGCCTGACTGCGAGCCTGTTGACATCGCTGGCAGCCTGAGCAAAGGTAACACATGCAAAGATGAGGATGACCGCACGTCATGTAGCAGCTTCGGTAGTGGCGGTGCGTCAATCGACAATTGCGGCCATTTCCATGATGGTCCCGGGGTTCCATCCACTGCACGTCAGCCGCAGGCGGCTACCGCGCGCCGGGACACACCTGGGCCTGAGGGCCTACCAGCAAAGGCTGAAACAGCTGTGACGCCGGAGGCGGTGGAATGCGACGACGGTGCCGAGGAGCATCCCCTCCAGCCGCTGCCAACGCATATGCTTGGCCACCTGCTGCGATGCACACACCACCATGTCCGTGGTTATGCTCGCGGTGGTGTCCGCGTCGGTGGCCCCATAAGCCCATTGCTTGGGCGTATTGCCGGCCGAGGCGGTGGTGGCATTAATGGTGGCATCATCAACATCCAACGGCCCAGGGCCACACGGCCCGTGGCTGCACCAGGCCATCGACCTGTCACCATTGCAGCTGCGGCACGAGGTGATGGCACCACCCGCAGCCCCCCGGCATCACGTGTTGTGCAGCCCAACCGCGGCCAAGTAGTAGTAACCGAGGATGCTGGGTACCCCGCTGACGTCCGTGACCATGACCATGACCGGGCCATGAGCCGCAGGAGCCCACCCTCTCCAACCAGAGCAGCGGTGTTCGTGGCTGGAGGTGGCCGCCCAAGCCATGGCATGCAGCCCGACCGCGGCCGGGTGGCTCGAGCGCCTGCATGGGTTCCCGGAGGTCGGAACAGCCGCAGCAGGAGCCCCGTGGAGGCCGCCGCCGCGGCCACCACCACGGCACCTGGAGGCTCTGGGCGGGACCATCATCAGATCTCCAGGGCCGCAAGCCCGGTAGCCCGGGCTCCCGACGCGATGGAGCGGCAACACAGGTGCGGTGTGACATGGTGCTGGGAGGTTAGCTAGAACTACTCCTGGTGCGGGTTACTGCGAAGGCTTGGCGTGTCGTGGTAAATCGGATTAGCAAAGAAGCAAAGAGGAGGAGCTATAGCAGTAGCAAGATATGCGAAGGCGGTGAAGACAATCAGTAGCAACCAGTGGCGTGCTAAGCGGCTGTGGCGGTGCCGAGTGCCGAACCCGTGCAATGAACTGGGTGGGTCGAAACTTGTTTTTTCTGCCAGCCGACGAGCCTCCCCTGTCCGATCCCTTGTCTGTGTTACTCGTCGGCGCCAAGTTTGACATGTGTGCATTGCCCCCGGTTCCAAAAAACACACCCACATACAGCGCTGCGGCTCCATGCACCCGAGCATCGACCGCGGCTGAGGGCTCGCCAAGAGGACCAAGTTCATGCTCAGGCATGGTGAGCGGCCCGCGCCTTGGATGCGATAAGTCCCAAGGGGCTGATTCCAGTCGTCCAAGCGCATCTTCCCCTCCGCGCGGCCGTGCAGCCTCGCCTGACACCACCCGGAATTCCCAAAGCCGCCGAAACACTTTCCCTACATCTCCAGAGGCCCTGTCACCCATCTCGACTTTGCTAGCCTGCATCATGCCCACACCTAAGAGGCCGGTGTCTCAAGCAGCACCTTCAGAGCTGCCATCTGATCCACAGAAGAGTCCTCATCAGCGACAAAATGTGCATGATGATACAAGCAGCAGTACAGACCAAGGCAACCCGCATCGCCACAACGGAAACACCTTCGATATGTCGACCTACGAGGTGCTGCCTGGATCTAGCTCATCCGGTAGCAACTGCGGCGGCCGCACTGGCGCAAAGCGACGACAACATGATGAAGGTGCTGATAATGCGGATGACCGGCGCAAGGCGCAAGGCAGCAGCAACGGTGGCACGGCGAGCGCCACCTGCACAGACAGCCAGGGCGACGCGGGCAGCGGGACCGGCTTGGGCAGCAGCAGCGGTAGCCGTGGTAGTAACTCGACCGAGGAGGCGGCTGTAGGATGGCGGCCGATGGCCGGCAGGATCAGCGGCTCCCAGCTAGCGGAGCGCTCGAGACTGCCGGTAGTGGGACCCGTATCTCCCCAGTCGCGTGCACTGCCAGTACCAGCATTCTCTGGCGCCAGCAACATCCGAACCGCCTCCGAATCAGACTCTGCGAGCTTGGCGTCGACCTCCAAGGGTGCGTACTGCAGGCCAACGCTGGCTGGCTGGCTCGGGGACTCGGGCCCTGGGGCCTCGGAGTCGATTGCAATGGCAGGGCATCCGGCTGTATCGGCAGGGACGGCGGTCACTGCGGAAGTGAGCCGGAAGGTTGAAGCGGAGGGTGTTGTCACCAGCAGTGCCGACTCGCATCGGCAGCAGCAGCAACAGCAGCAGCTGAATGGCCGGAAAAGCGTGGGCAGCCCGATTGCTGAGGTGGCCGCAACGGCGGCTTCTGCCCTGCAGAAGCTCCGAGACCAGCGCTTGCAACGAATGCATCGAGTTAATAGCAGCGCGCACCAGCAGCCTTTCCACGGTTCCTCTGTGGCAGCCGCTGTTTCTGCAGCTTCCGCTACGCAACGTCCCCGGCCCCAACAGCAGCAGCATCTGCTGGTGCAGCCTGGGTCCAGCGGAATGGCTTCGGCCAGAGGGGATGATGACGGCGGGGTGGTGGTGCTCGCGCTTCGCGGCAGCCTGCAAGGAGAGGTTATCGTGTCGCCCTCTCGGCTGGTGTCACCGGGGGCGTCATCACCGCTCAGTCCGGGCAGTCCAACCGGTAAGGTGGGAGCAGCAGCAGGTGGAGGACAACATGCTCCTGGTAGTGGCGGTCGAGGTGGGAACGCTGCAGGCCAAGTGACCATGCGGCTGGAGATAGGTGGCGGCCCGCCAGTCTGGCGTGCCGCAACGGCCACCACCGCTGCCCCTCCAGCAGCCGGTGGCGGGGCCGAGCTAGCTCGTGGCTTGCAGCCAGCGACCGCGGCGGAATGGAGCCTACGGGACCTCCGGCAAGGGATAAGGCCTGGCTCAACGGGACGCAGCGCGTACGGAGAGCTGCAGCTGGATCCCTCCCGCGGGTCGTCGGTGTCCCGGGGCTACATGACTTCGGCGGAGCCTAGCTTTGATCGTTCGGCTTCGAGTTTGAGTGTCAGTGCAGGCTCAAGCGGGGCAAATGGTGCCAGTAACGGATGGCCGGGAATAGAACTTGTCGCACTCGCAAGAAATGGGCATGGTTTGCGTACGGCGCAAAATGTTGTGGGGACCCAGGGTAGCGGGGTTCCTGGAGCGTGGGGTGGGCAACACGTCGCTGCGGCACCTGCACCACCAGTATTGCCGCTGCAGCACCCGCTCATGCGCCTGCTGGGGCAAGCTTCGGAAGACTTACAGCTCCTGAGCGACAGGCTTAAGCCGCTGGTGGATGCCAGGCCAGTCAGTAACATACTTCGTTCGTGAAGGATGCAATTAACAGTTTGTTGTCCGGCACAAGGATTGTGGCGTGCTTTCGCCTGCCGTATTGTGGACGGGTTTTAATAGCCTTAAGCTGAGGAGTGGACGACAGCAAGCGAGGACTAACTGCGTGGGAAGATGCGGCGAGGAGTTTCGGCCCTGGCGGCACATTACCAAACTCCACCTGGACGAACCTGGCCAAACTATGGCACGTGCAAATGCGGCCCGACTATGGGTTCCGTTATGGCACGTTGTGCAGCAGAAGAGTAGTGCCTTAATTGCAGATCGTAATATGGATATGGAAGTCCGTGTGGATTTGTGATGTGGATTGTGCAGGAGCGGTGCTGCACTGTGCACTCGTCGCCGTCGCGGACGTGTTAACTAACAGACGTTAACAATGCCCGTGAGTGAGCAATGTGCAATGCAAATTCACAGAAACAACGAATAAAACGCAAATGGGCCGAAGGCTGGATGCCAGGGAAATTATATATATCTAAAATCTAACTAACTGCCCGTGCTGTCGTAAGTCAGGAACCCCTGGGATTGCCGGATGTTACGCTTCACTTTCAATACTTGGACATACATACTATCCTTGTATGAATACAGTGGCAACCTATACATTCTTGCAGTCATCAGGAGAGGAAGACGATACTGTGCTGAGCAAGATTAAAGGCGAACACAAGGCAGAATGGGCTGCTTTGGTCCTCGTTGTATTGTCTGGGTGTTATGGACTATAAACCTGGTATGCTATAACCGGTATCGATGCAAAAGTCCTTCGGAACGAGGATCACCCGAGTCCATTGTACCGTATTGCAGTTTGCCTCAGCAGTATACCTGGCCATCAGCCTTGTTACCTTTCACAACATAAAATGGGTGCGTTGGATTCACTCGTTGAAAGAAAGCATTCCGCAAGTTCGAAAATGCCTCGTTCACGACCGCAGGGGGTACAATTTCTCAGAGATTTTGAGAATCGTGAGGTTAGCGAAGTTTTTCAACTGGCCAGTTGAAGTCTCCTTTACCTTTGCCGAAATCCTGCTTAGCTTCTTGCACGCTTCACTGTCTTGGCCTCGCACAGGCTTTTAAGAATAGCCTGCTGGCGTCATGTATCCTTGGTTTTCTTGTGGTTCTCTTTTGGATCATCTTTAGCTTCTTTGTCCTCATCGGGTGAGTACAACCGCTGCGGCTGTGGTGTTATTAGGTAAATGCCCGTGTATGCACACGCGATTTCCGTGCAGAACGCGTGTGCCTCCGGGAAAGCCCCCAACTGTGAAATACACCCTTCCCCCGGAACCTGTCCCATCCCATCCCAGGCGCTTTTTCGGCACCCTGCCTTTGGGCTACGGCGTCATGCTAGGGTCTTGCGCCCACACTGGCTTCTTCAGCCTTCTGGCGGGTCTCGTGCTGCAGACACATGAAGTCCTAGCGGACAACTTTAGGGTAGGTGCGATGTTGTCGGAATGTGCCGTGTCCGCATGAGTGAGCCCAGTTATGGCTTAAGCAGAAGCTGTCGGTATCGGGCGGCCACGTTGACCAAAGAGAAATGCGTCAAAGCCAGGTGACGCTCCAGCGGGGTTGTCGCTCCAGCCAGTCAGTCAGTCAGCCAGCGCACGGTTCCATGGGTTCAACACTTCCTTCCCTTCCCCTTCCCTTCCCTTGCGCCTCGCCAGTCATGGGGACTGCACATGTGCCCACAAGGACTCCTAAGGGTTAATTACCCCTGCTGCAATGCTGCGATGACTCCTTTACCGAGGCAGCAGTAACCTCTGTCTGTCTGTCTGCCTGTCCGTCTGTTCATCTGCAAATGTTTTATTACTTCAGAAGTATGGCATCTGGAGCAGCGCCGACTACCAGACATATCTGTCCACGTATGCGTTTAACTACATTTTGTGCGGTACCTACCTCCTCTTGTTCTTGGTGTTGGCGTTCACGTCGGGTCCCTTCACGAAGCAAGAGGAACGCGGTAAGTCGGGGCATGTAACGAGCAAAGGGGATCCAGTATATGGAAACGGGGACGTCCGGCATCGTGAGCGGCTGGAGGGGACTGTTGACAGAGGGGGGCCGGGGGAAGTGCCTTCCACAGCCGGGCCGAGAGAGGCCGTGAGAGGCCGGGGTGTCAGCACCCTCGGCATACCCCTAGGGGGCAGATTGGGTTTCCATACCTATGTTAGGGTGGTGCGTGCCTGCTTATCCCGGAGTGTATGTATAAATAACATATATTTACAATATAACAAATATATAATATGTTATAAATGTAACATATGTTATACTTATGATATATATATATATATATTATAACATGTGTTATATATAATATACACCATACATATGTTATATATATGTTATATATATACTGAGGGAGCTGAGGAAAGATCTTCCCTCTCTAGTGGGAGACTGCTCTTCGGTGGCTCATGACCCTCCTCGGCTCGTGGCCGCATGTGTAAGGAATGTAAGGCCCCGGACGGTAACCGGGCTTAACATAACCTGATTCACCTCGCCTTTACCTGAACTAAAAACTAACCTGCCCATGCTATGCTATGCTTTGCATCGCTGGTGCCCGCATGTAAAACGCCAAAATGGTTATATATATGCAGGCAGCTCTTATACTGTGAAGACACCGTCGGCATCGACACCGCCCGCGGCATCGGGTACGGTGTCCGGTGTTGAGAACAGCCACGGCTTCGGAGTCAACTGGCCGAACTCCTACCGCGGGGGCAACGTGTAGCCTCGGCGGTGCGGGAGATGATGGCTTTCCCGCCCTCCCCGGATAGCCACCTACCACTTGGAAGCAGTTGGGGAGCAGCGCCCCTTGGGGAGTAAATGGTGCCTGGGAGCGGGAATGAATACAGGTGCCTAGAGATGGTTGTGGTGATGATCATGATCATGGTGATGATGATGATGGTATTCGGTGTTTGCGTCGAGGGTCTGGACACGGTGGCAACCTTATCGCTCAGTGACAAGTTTGTTTGGGGGTAAGGTAATAATCAGTAAGGTCCTTCAGGTCTGGCAATGTCGTATTAACGCAGTAGTGCGCTAGTAATTTGAGTGTGTGGTCGACAAAAACGTGGAAAGTGCATGCATGCTGGAATTATGTGTTTTGGCACGGGTGTACAGGCGCTTTTGTTACCCGCCGCCTCCATTGCTTTTGGAGCGACTTCTTATAACGTCCAAGACTTAATTTAGTTAGTTGCAGTGGTGGTGGTGGTGGTGGCCACCACCACCACCACCAGCACCATGGTGTGCTGGTGGTGCTCTGTCTGCAGGGGAACGGGCAGCTGCATGTACAGACGTATGCAAGCGGCAGGTTACACTTGAGCCATGTTTTGTTTTTGGAGTGCTAGTAATGCTAATGCGCGATCAGCATCAAAGCCGCAAGGATGATGTCCTTTTTGTTCATGTTGGCATCTGTTTAGATGGCATTCCGAGGTAAATGGTAGTCAATCTTCTGCCACTGCTCTTGCTTTTTTCCTTTCTCTTCCAGCTGTTTGCAGTAGCCAGCAGTAGGGCGCTGCATGTTCTGCAAGAAGACGCAATGATTTGGTTGCCTGTTCTCGACCCCATCTCTAGAGATCTCGGGCGCCAGGTCTAAAAATATGTATGGGTTACCTGCGGGAGCTGATTCCCTTGAGGAGGATTCCTGAAGTCTCCAAAATCTACATAATAAAGCCCCAACCCACATTCTGCATGGGCGGCTTGTACCGCACTTATCCGCCCTGCCTTGGCCATAACCGGGTCTACTTGATACGTGGATATGGCACAATGGCTTTGATTGCGGTGTATGCATTGTCTTTCATCCGGTTCGTCATGTTGATGTTGACTCCTTCTTTGGGGTTCTTGGGAGTCTCGATGCATGGTGGCTTGCACGGCGTGAAGCGCAGGGGAGGTGGATATAAACACGGGTCGTGCGCCGTGCATGCATGCATGTGTGCATGTGTGTGTGTCGTCAGCCCTCCGTGCGTTTTTCATAGCCTGTGCCTGGACCGACATTTCGCCAAAGCATTTGTGGACTAGGAGGGCACGTCCCGCAAGTTGTACAGATTGAAACCCAAGCAAACTCTTCGCGCGGCCCGATGGTGGGTCCCTGGGAACCACTTACGCCCAGGCCCCTCCAAACAGCCCAGGGGATAATTCGCCAGGGCTAAAGGAATGTCGGCGTGCAGCCGTGCGGGCCGTGAGGCTCGCGTTCCGCGCCTTTGACCTAGCTCCCATCATTGGGGCGGTCATTCATGGCGTCTTAAGCTCGGCCACTACTTCACACTGCACATGTTCCTGGCTTCTGCGCTTTGCATTTTACCGTGTTTCCTCTTTTATTCAATACGCCCAACGCTACGACCTTTTGCGACGTGTCTGACTTAAAACTGCAAGCTGCCGCGGCAACGATGGAAACACGATACACGAGTTTGGGAAGTGGTGTACTGCGATACTGTACGGGATAGACTTTTTGAAGGTATGCACGCACCTGCGTGTCCTAGCCGTTTCTGAAGGCCGTCTCTGCAACCTCCTCCGTGACATGTCCTGCTGTACATGTAAAACACGACGCAACAGTCGTGAATGTAAAAATGACTCATGTTGTTGTGCTGATTTCCGCAGCTCGCACATAACCACACACGTGATCAGAGTGCGGATCAGAGGACCGCCTAACAATGTAAACGCGGGTAAGGCTTTGCAGGTGGGGAGCCATTACAGGATATGACATTGTCGGAAAACAATGTGGCCGGTGCATGTTGAAGTCCAGGTGCTTCACTTTTTCAAATTGAAAGCCTCATGTCCCTTCATTTCATAATGAGCACGGAATGCGGACAGGAGGAAGGGTTTCCCGGGAAAATGAAGGGGGTCCGGTTCCCAGAGTACATGCACGCACTCGCCCCAGGGATAAAAAGACTACTAATGCACATCATGTAAGGATTAAAAGCAACATCACCATCTGGGGGAGTAAACGATATAGACAAGCCCAAGTGGTGAGAAGCAGAGCTTGATATGGCCGCCGCATGGTTTATATTATGTATATGGCGTACATGACGTATGGCGCACATGGCCTGACATGACCAGCCACCACCACCCCACCGCGATATGGCGACGACCTTGAAGGTCACAAGACAAGAAGCACTTCAACAGCGATCACAACGACAGTAACAACAATATGAACATCAGGATTCAGAAAGGCAGTGGACAACAAGATGAAAAGACGCATCACACGTAGCGTATGAGTGCTTTAGATGAAGAGACATACACACACATGCACACACATACACAGATATACTTACATATATATACATACAGCGCTTCGGCGGCTTTTCCTTTAAGGGGTGTGGCATCTGGCTTTGTCCAATGTCAGGCTCAGTTGAATAAGGTGTGGCATAAACAGATGTACATACATATATACATAGGTCAGGCACTACTGCGAAAGCACACACCGATGCCCCCGAGGTTCCGGGATCGAGACCTGTCAGGGTTGAAAACCCCTTCCGAGGGTGGAAGGTAAAAGTGCACCTAGTCGATGGACGATGGTGACCTGGGATAAAGGATAACCTGCGAGCTGACCAGAAATGGAGTTGGGCCGCCGTCGACCCGGCAGATTCCGTTGGATGCTGGTGGTGGGTGCGGAACCTGAGCGATCCACTGAGAAGTCGGCTAGGTTGACTGGATGAGGGTGCCCCAAAATACCGCGTAAGGCAGGGTTTCGCAGGGTAGCGGCCACAGGGTGAATACATGACCCCCTTGTCCCACACTTCATACACACGTCCCCACACATGGCATACATACCGAAAACCAGCCCGATGAAAAGCACACAGCCACTCACTGACTTTTTCGATCCGCCTCTCCAGCTCACTGCCACGAACACATACATACATACATATAAACACACATACATACATGCAGTCCCGATTAACAGTGTCATATAAGTCCCTCCAGCTTGTGAGGGTGGATGTGACCCCATCCATGTTGATGGACGGCTGTGGAACCCTAGGGGTTCAAGTTGCCTGCGAACCGCCGCCTGAGGTGGCGCCCGGGAACCCCCCTCTGTACCGCTCCTCCCCCGGAGGCACATGGCCCCCGCACCAAATCTGTATCTGAGCTGACTTCTCATCTGCATTTAGCATTTTCGCAATGCTCCCTCGTCACAGCAACAGTCACAGTCAGTCAGTCACACACACACACACACACACACACACACACACACACACACACACACACACACACACACACACACACACACACACACACACACACACACACACACACATCACACATCACACACGCACACAGACAGTTCAGTTCAGTTCAGTTCAGCTGATTTCAGCCCCGATGTGGGGGCCAGGGTGCACACCGCAGTGCAGTGCTCTCGCCCCTACAGCTCGCGCCGCAGCAGCTGTTCGGCCATTCCGCGGCGAAGTGCGGGAACATCGACCTGCGCTCGGTGGGCACATGTGTGAGATACAAGCTGGCGATATACGGCAGATAGGAGACAGCATGCACATACTCACATACTCAACAGTCAATAGGTAGGGCCTTCCCCGGTCAACGTCAGGCCAGGCAGAGATGTAACAAATACACGACACGCAAACACACAAAAATGCACATAAATCGCAGCGCATGAGCTCCAAGAGAGCCAAAGCATTCGCAACACCCGCTCTGCCGTTGTACCAAAAGAGATAGAGGGTCAGCCGCTCCAAAGGAAGCCAACCCCTACCACAATAACACACACACCCCGATGTTCCAGCCGCCGACACGCGCACTCCGCCAAATACCCCCCGCGCCTTGACACATCGACACAAAAAACACGCACCCATCCGCCCCAACGTTCTGAACCACTCCAATTCCAATCCCATCCCACCCCGGGGCCCACAACCCCCGACCCACACAGCCCAGCTCACAGCTCACAGGAGACCGCACCTGCGAGAACCGGAACGCGGCGGGCGGCACTCCCCGCGCCAACAGCTCCGCAAAGGCGCACGCAAACACACCGCAGCTGCTGTGGTCGAGCTGCAGGGGCGGGGACGGGGACGGCGGCATGTAGGCACAAGTACCCCCCCGCGGTCCACAGGCGCGTAGTGCGGCCATAGAGGTGATAGAAAGGGGCATGTCACAGGGGCACAGAACATCAACACGACGTGAGTGAGAGAGTGAGTGAGTCAGTGGGGTTGCATCGGGCCCCGAGAGAATCCCCCGAGAGACACCACACACACACACACACACACACACACACGCGTCTTGCCATGTGATTTCTCCCCCATATTTCCCCTGACCCCCTTCGCCAGCAGCCATATCCCCCGGGCCTAGTCACGGAAGGGATGTCATCACGTCCCGCATATGTATGGCATGAGATTCGAACCCGGCACGCAAGGCTGCCAGATGTGCGTGTTCGGAGGAAGGACTAAACACCAGCTAAGTGTGTTGCTTTAGGGCCGCCGACACATATACTGACATACGCATGCACATACACAATATGAATTACGTGCATATACGGCAGTATGGGAGTACGGCAGGGACGCACAGCATACACCGCACAGTTCCGCTTTCAAGCACGTGGCGAGCTGAATCCGGGTTGGACCGGGGTGCCCCCCGCATACTCCGTAGTTGGTTGGGGGCCAGGGCCCCCCGGCTAATACCAGCTCAGCAACCGCCACCCCGCAGCCACCACGTTGTCGAGCTATTAGCTTGCCGCTTGTTTGATGTTGTTTTTTTACTGTGGTCTACCGGTCTACCCCACCAGCCAGCACCACCATATGTCCACGGGGTGTACACAGCCGGCAACCCCCCAATACACACGGCACAGGGACACATGAAGGCAATGTAAACACACACAAAAAAAAAAATAAAAGACAGAGACATGCCTGTTTGGGAATTCGCAGCTGCTCCGAAGCCTCCCGTCTCCACCCCACCGTCGCATCCGCCGCCACACCCTCCGCTGACCCTGCATGAGCTCTTCTCCTTCGACCGGGGCCCGCCGCTGCCGCTGCCGCTGCCGCTGCCGCTGCACCGCCAGGGGGCGCTGCCGCGTCTTTCGCCGCCACCGCCTTGGCCTCCTCCTCCCGTACCACTGACCCACGGGTCACCCCCTTATCCTCCAGATCCTTCACCAGCCAGCGCACCAATGTACTCATCACCCAGTCCGCAGTCCCTCGGGTTTCCCCCAAACTGTCAAAGTACTGCACCAGCCGCTGTCGCGGCCAGATGGCGGCCAGACACCTGCAGACAGACAGACAGACAGACAGGCGACCCATCAACAGGTTTCACCAGCCCAAGTGGATTAAAATCCGGACTGCAATTCGCCACGTCCTCGCCCCATAGAGCACATACATACATACATACATACACACATACGTACATACATACGTACATACATGCGTACATACATACCCCGGGAAACCCCCGTTGTTGCTGCGAGCCGGCTGTAGTTTTCCAAGGCCATGCCCCCCCGGAAGAGGAGGTGTTTAGGACATGAGCAACTGTCTTGGGGTTTTGAGTGGTGCAGGCAGGCAGATCTACATCAACCCTCAAGAAAGACAGGAAATGGCAGCAGCGCAAAAGGTTTTCTGTACGGAAGCGGGTGTTCTGGTCCTAGCGGCCCTCCATCATAAAGGCACTCGGTAACCCCCCATTGCAAAGGCACTCCCCCCCCCACCAATGACAGTTGCCGTGGTTGATTGGGAACAACAGCAGGTCCCGGGACGACACGCAGTCCGCCGTATATGTACGGGATGGCAGAGTCCACCGTCGTACATCATCGTACTTGAAGCACTTGCGGTTACCCCTTCCAGTTAAGGTGCTAAAAAAGAAGCTGTTAAATGCAAAGACGGAGCACAACCGCTTCTTAGGCTGAAGATTCTGCTGTTGCTGCGGTTGCTGAAGCGGCGGCGGCGGCAATAGTATGTGCCCGCCCCCGAGGCTTGGAAAGTCTCCTGGCGGCGCCGGCGGGACTTCCAGAGCCTTAGAACTTGCTATCGCCGGCGGCGGCGGCGGCGCCGCCACCGCAGCTGCTACCGTACCCACACACACGGCCTCAGACGGCGCCGCTGGGTCCCCCTCAATTGCCGTACACATCGACTCCTTCCGCTGCTGTGTAGCCCGCCGCTTCGCGCCCGCCGCCGCCACTGCGCCCAGCCCAGCCGCCGCTACAGCTGCAGCCGCCGCCGCGGCAGCGCCGCGGTTGCTGGCCGCCGCCGCGACGGCAGATACCACCGCTTGCTTCCGCGACGATGCGGGACCCTGAGAACCCCCAGCAGGAGAATCAGCAGCAGCGGCAGCAGTCGCAGCAGCAGTAGCACAATTGCCGCCGCCACCACCTTGACCACCACCACCGCAGCCGCCACCAGAGCATCGCGGAGTCGTTACCTGGGGGCCCCTCGTACCGCCCTCGCGAACAACATTACTGTCGGCGGCTGCAACCTTGGATCCGAAATCCTCGGATCCGGATTCCCCCTCCTGAGATGCCGCAACCGTCGCCGCCGCTGCCGCACGCTTCTGTGAAAAAAACCTCGCAACAGCACAGCAGGGGGACCGATAATCTATATCGGGGGGGGATATCACGTTCTTGCCGGAATGAGTAATAGCAGCCGCCGCAGCAGTAGCAGCGGCCGCGGCGGTACATTTCTCTTTCGCCGGGTTCCGGAGAGGAGATACACGTCAAGTGTTAGACACGTAAGATGTGGGGCACGGCGGCGGCACCCCGTCAGTGACCGCGGGGGGTCGACTAGTGAAAGTGCGGAAGTGCGGAAGTCACAGTGACGGGCGCTCCCCGAACCCAAACACTCTTCTTCCCTCGAAGCGGCGGAAAACGGCAGCAGCGGCTAATGCGGCGACTTAAACTTCCCGCAGAAATAATCAATAAATGGAATGACGCGACCGAGGCGTCCGTCTGGGCTCTCTCTTTTCTGTGCTGGTCTGCAAGAGTCACCTGCCCCGCCCTGCGGCGCTGCCCCCCTGTTGTTGTTGTTGTTGATGGTGGTGTTTTGACCCCGTGTGCCTAATTGCTGTGGTACGACACGACAAGCAATACGACAGATGTGCCGTACCGTTATCAGAAGCATGTAGAAGTTGATTACTTCGTCATTCAGCCAGGTGTTGTTTCCCAGCAGTCGGGCCAGATCGGATGCGTGGAGAGGCTGGAGGTTGGTCGCCGGGCCGACCTAGGCAAGGATGCAGGCGGATGATGATGATGATGATGGTGATGATGGTGATGATGATGATGATGATGAACGCAGAAAAAGGAGGTAGGAAGGTCGCAAAAGGCTCTGTCCTCTTCAATGAATAAATAAATAGAGTGGCACCGCGCAAGTGGCCACACAGCAACCAACAACCCCATCGACCAGCTTGCTGCCCCTCATCGGCACCCCCCCCGATCTGGCCCGCACTTTGCCAACCAGCGCCTTTGCCAACCCATTTTGGGTTTTCCACAGACCACAGAAGATATCAGCGGTGCGCGCATTCTGTTGCTTCCCAATCTCATTTTCCCACAAACCAGCCAACGTAAGTTTGCATGTGCACGGCGGCGTGGCTACAGTGCCTACCCAACCCCGAGGGAAACAATAAAACCCTAAAGTCCCAAACGCGAGGGAGCTAAGCGCAACGGAGAGATGGGAGGGAGCAGCATAAACAGAGAAACCAAGAGCGTCCATAAAGGGCACACATAAACAGAGACCTGAGCGTATTTGTCCATATAAGTGTGTGTCTGTATGTGTATGGTGTGTATGAGGGGTGTGTGTGTGTGTGTGTGTGCAAATGACCAAGAGGCACGTCCCTACCGGTGTCGCTGCCACGCAAGTCGAGGGCTTTGGCTTTGGCCGTCGGGCCTGATATGCCGACAGTAGCGGAGTGCCGGCTCTAGCCACTAGCAGCGCTGCGGGAAGCTCCCTGGCCTCCCCCGGACCTAGGGAGTCCCGCCACGAACCATCGGCACTCATATCGCTTTCATGTGGGAAAACCTCTGGAAGGGGGACGGAGGCTGGAGGCTGGCAAGGTACTTCGGTTAGGGAAGAGGAAGCACCAGCTGAAGCGTCGCTGAGTTGCAAGCCGCTATGGCTCAGTGCTGCGACGTCGGATGTTTGTGTAGCAAGAGTAGTACGGACCGAGTCTTTCAGACTTTCGAGGGTGGGTGAAGCATCACGCTCAAGCCGAGGGCGCCGCGTCGGCATTGACCGGTCGCCGGTGCGCGCGGCTGCCACACAGCTGGCGGCGCGTGATGTCTTCGAAGCTTTGATTACTGCCTGGTGGAGGTAGCGATGCTGCAGCGTGTTAAAGCAACACCATGGAACTTTTCCGCCGACCATCCGGCGCCGCTTTGGGGACCGCAGAAGATTTGCAGCCCATACGAATGACAGGAAGGCCCGCCGACCGCTCGTCAGGCACATTTCCACAAGACTGTGCGCCTCCGCTCTTCGTTTGCGACCGGACGAGGGTGGCGCCGTAAATGGCATCATCGAGAACTGTAAGCGGGAAGTATGGTGTCGTGAAATGCAATCTATCTACAGAAAAAATCCCCGTAAGAAATCCTTATAACTAAAGGGCTGCCTGCTTAACCCTCCCTCGTAGCGTGCTTGACAAATTGTAAGCGATTTTCCATGTTGAGTACCATGATTTATTTTTAACGTAACGTAACACATGAAAACGTAAAGGCTTGAAAAAATTGCAGGGACGACGTGTTGTGCCTTTAGGACGGTTGTCCGGTAGAAGACTACCGGAAAAAGTCGTGTCGTGTTCGATGCCTTTTGTCCATTCAAGTGCTAGTGTTCGTCCGGCGGTGTCGACTAGCCATGATTACCCTGGAAGGAGGAATTATGCTGAGCAACAATGCTGAGGAACCAGAGGTCTGTGCTGAACTATGTCAAGCCAGGACCGAAGCATTTTTGAGGCATCAGCCTGGTTTTAATGGAATTATGTGTAACTACTTATGACGCCTAGGTTTATATCTGATTCACCAAGCGTGAACTGGATAACTCAATTTTCGCGGAGGACATATCGGTCAAATGTACGGCATCTAACTCCTTCCAAGGCAGGCGAATAGCACCCATAATCTGAGGATGGTTTTGACCAATGTTGGAAACTTTTGCAACTTGCTTTGACGCACGCGACGGTCTTTGTGCACAGTTGCGGTGGGCCGCGTCCTATCGCTTCGTTGAGTCTTTTATAAAGTCTCCGTTCATTTATAATGGACTTCTGTAATCCTGTTGGGTAACTGAATAGGATCCTCGTAAGAGTTACTATCAATGGCTGAGTCGCTCGGAGGAAGCCGTGGGCGAAATGATAACGCAGGGACTTTTAAGTCCTTCGGCTTGTATAAAACGCAAGGTGATATAACTCACGTCCGGGTGTCTCCGTGGTTTGTACTTCGGACAGCAGTTGAGGAGACGCGGATGTTGCCCCAACAGCTCTCAGATTCCGAATAACGTAGTATATTGAAACCTGAAGTAATACATACAAACCTCTCTAAACCCAAAACTCATCGTCGCGTTCGGCGCTGCCGATGGCATGCGGGTCATCCTGCATCCTGATGTTACGACAAATTCTGCCCGCACCTCCTTCAACTAATCACTCAGCCAACACTACCGCCACCGCCTGCCTCTAGAACCATCTTTCATTTAAACCCAAATCGTGTTTCCAGCACAAATCCATCGCGTCACAACAACGGCGCCAGACACTTCAATACCCCCCTCGCTCACCACAGCCATTCCCCGCCCCAGCAGGTCGCCCGGCAGGTGGCGGGGGGGGGATCCTGGACCGCCCCGCCACTGCTCGCGCTGCTACCCCTTCTCGCGGTGGCGTTGCCGCACTGCTGGGTGGCGGTGGTGGAGGGGGAGGCGGCCGGCCCCGGCCCTCCAGCGCACCCCGGGAGCGTCCCGCCGGTGATAAAACCCAAGCTGCCCGTGTGGGTACCGGGCCATGGGGGAGGGAGGGAGGGAGGGGGGGAGGAGGGAGGGTGGACTGGGTGTGGTGGCTGGGATGTGGGTGGAGGGATGTGAGTTTGGGGTGGGGGGGGCGGTGGGGGGAAATCAACTAACTTACCTGCTGGCTGGCTGGCTGGCTGCGGCCACGGCGGTTGGCAAGTCGGTGCGACGGTTGCTTTGGCTGATGGTACCTAAGGTGGTACACAGGTGGTATTGGGTGGTGGTCCCCGGGGCGAGTGGGGGGCTGACTGACTGGCTGGCCGGTGCCTAACCAGGCATCCACGTTGCGTCCCCTCACTCCCTCCCTCAACATTCCCATGGCTGCTTCTACCGCCTGTACTGCTACTACCGCTATTGCTGCTACTGCTGCTGCTACAGGCTCGTGTGGAGGAAGTTCGCCATGCCCGTGAAGCCCAGTACTGGGGCAGAGAAGATCAGGTGGGGGGGGATGGGGGGGAGAGGTAGAGATGTGTGTGTGTGTGTGTGTGTGTGTGTGTGTTGAGACATGGGTAAGTGGGGAGGGTGCCCCACAGGTCGTAGGCGAGCAAGCTGGCTCTATCCCCACCCCACCCCCACCCCCCACCCCCACCTGACGGGTACGACCATTTCCCTCCTACCGAACGAGTACGAGCACACACGCAATGCTGCGCACCGACCCGCTGTAACCCCGACCCGATACAGACAACCTAAACGACCCAAATCAAACCTGAACCAGGCACACGGCAAACCATCCATTAACATCACCTCTCTTATCGTACACGTACGGAAGTCTTTTCCCGTACCAATACCCCACCACATCCACACATACGCACGCACATACGCACGCACATACATACGCATCCTGGCCCCGTCCCCGCACTCCAGGAGCCGGGTATTCGTGCCAACAAGCGCGACCTGCCGCCGTTCTGGTCGGTTCGGGAGCACGGGCAGCCCTTCAATGACGAGCGGCTGGCGGCTGGGGTCA